TTCTCTCTGTCTCATACCTTGCTGTATAGCTATAGTCCATGGCAGCCTAACTGATGAACGAAGATTGTATACCTTATAAAATGGTACCGCAGTCGGTACAATCTAACAGAAAATCATCATACTAGTGTTTGTATACCATTTAGGTAATAACAGTGGATACCAAACGGCTTTGAATCTTTGTGTACTGTTGGAAAGATAAGATATTAGAGTGATTCAAAATGACTTGATTATTAAACATTATGCACTATATGCGAACGTTCTGAGACAAAGACGTCATCGAGCTACAAATAGAATAAGATTGTCGTTTCTATTTTCGTTAGTTAGTCCAATCTTGGGTTAAAGTCTCCGCAATCAGTAGACACTAATGAAATGCACACGTTTGTTTTTTCTCTCCTTGATTCTTGCTCTTCAAATGGATGAATAAAGAGGTCCATTGTGCTTTGACTCAATAGTAGAAGGGTTGAAACCCCACGGACGTGTATTAAAAAACCTGGACTTGCAACGCCTTTGTATGAAAAAGAAGTCAACCAGCGGCCATTTTACCGAGCCGAATACAAATGCGCGGGTTGGCTCCTCCTATTGACGTCAGGAAGAACAAAGCTAGGAAAGCTTTGTATTCGGCTCGGTAAAATGGCCGCGAGTGGATTCAATGGTCTCTATAAGCTGATTAAGGGCATTGTGAGTCCAGATTTAATTGTACACCTCCACGAGAAACCCATGGAGAGCCGTCAATCTGATGCTATCCGCAACTGACGCGGATGAGCGAATACTATGCACAAAGTGCCGTCACACGTATACATAGGCTCCAATAATCTTTGTGAAGTGTTCCAGAAACTGCAAGAGTTTGGAGTAGAACAAGAGTTGTAGAGTTTGTAGCGCTGCAGGAACACAGTATCCGGCTGCAATACTAAATGATAGAGTACAGTGGATGTTTCAAAAAAGAAAGAGTTAGCGGAGAGGGTCTCAGCTGCTCTTAGGCGGTCACGACTCAAGATCTATGAAGACCAAATCAGTATGGCCATTTTCATGAAAAACACCAACTGATTTAAATGAATGGGTATCGCCAATGTTTCAGAATAAATAGTATATTTCGGCCTATCATCCACACCTTCAACTTTCCAGAAAATGATGAGCACCATATTAGTGGTTTTAAAGAGAGTGCAAGTTAAAAACATGGATATGATTTGATTATGGTAAAGACGACGCCCATTATGATGCAAATTGTAAGCAGTTCTCGAAAGACTCGGACTTAGGAAGGTAAGAGCAAGCTGAAAATTCTTAGGATACACCTGAACTACAATTGGTGTTGAATTTGATGATAAATACCACTGCCAGCAAGTTTCCCATAAACAGTACTATGTACAATCTTTCAAAAACTGGTAATGGTCCAGTTGTCCAAATTTCAGTGATTGCACGATTTCATTGTTAATTTCGGTTGGATATAAACCACAGTTGAGCATACCCAATTTTGTCAACAAATTTGCAGTTCTGCATGGGCAGTATCCCTACCTTTGGCACAGGACAAAGTTCGGGTAGTTGACAAAAGTTTGCATGTAACATAATCATTCACTGACTTGTGCTCGGGCTTTTTGACTGCCTATATACCAACCAGGTGCGGCCACTGCAAGAAACTTGCTCCTGAGTACGAGAAAGCAGCAACTGTTCTGAAGAGCAATGATCCTCCAGTGCCGCTTGCAAAGGTACATACATGTACATCCAGTGTTTACTCTATTTGTGTTTGCTCCCCATTCCACACATAAATCTGCCTGTTGTAGTTACTGGCGATAGGTGTGGATGCCAGCGGTCACCAAAGACACTGTGCGCCTATAGTGCTCACACATGAAGATTCCACACATTTGCAACTTTGCCTGTTTTGCCTTTAAGCAATGTGTGTTGTCACATGCAATAATTATATTACCCCAAGTGACATAGTATGACTTAATGGTATATGCGTGCTGAAGGATGATCCTTCAGCACGCATATACCATTCGAGCGCGCATACATGCGCCTTTCGCGGCCACCGTAGAAAATGCCAGTATCCCCCTCTCCATTGGATATGGAAACAGTGAAAAATGTTGCAAGGGCAAGTCAAGAACCTGCAGATCAATTTTCACGGATCAGAATTTTGGGGGGTTTAGGGAGGGGGCTCGAAGATTGCTTTGTGTAGTCTAATCTGTATGGTGTGGAGCTAAATTTGGGAAATACTAAGAGACATTCTCCTGATGATGAAAAATAAAAAGTACTTTCTGCTAGGGGAGGGTGGCATGGCCCTGTTCCCCCACCCCAGCTATTAATGGTTTATTGTAACCATATGACTCAAGTTGTGGGATTGAAACTTAGTGGAATAAGCCAAGGCCCCGTCACTCTCTCCCTCTCTCTCTCTCTCTTTCCCTTCCTGAGCAAAGATGATCCGAAACGAAAATACCTCAGTTGTCCATTTGCAAGGCGTGCGGGGATGACCGTGGGTGTGTGCGTGCTAGTGTTTGCTGGCTGGCGGCTGGCTGGCTGGCTGGCTGACCGTCTTCACAATCAAGGAATTGATCTTGCTGAGAGTTAATTCACCAGAATATTGCTAACGCATAGATACAACCCATGAAAGCTGGGATAAGTATGAGAGGGTGACTAGCAAGATGTATCATAAAAAAGTGTTTTGCAAGCACAGCACTTTACATTGTTTTTTTTTTCATTTCCCAAGATTGATTGCGCTGAAAAGGGCATAGAGACATGCGGCGATTATGGGGTGTCAGATTTTCCATCAATGAAGATCTTTAGAAATGGGAAGCTCTCCTCCGAGTATCAGGGGGCAAGAAAGGCAGGTACGTCACATATTATTTGCACTTTTTTAGAGTCAGTAACAGTCCACAGTCTTCTGAGCTCCCTAATCATTAGAAAGCCTGCCCCTCCCACGGTTTTTTTTTCTTGAAAGGAACACTTCATAGGTGAGTAGGAAAGAATGTAATTGATTTATTCTTTTACCAAAACGTAGCACCGTACTCTAAGAAAATAATAGCACTACAAAACAAAGGATGTGTCGTGAATATTTAAGGCTTTTGAGACCCCCCATCATGCTGAATGAGCCCAAAGCAGTCTTCGCTTTTGACTTTGCCCCTCTCTCGACACCAGAAGGAGCTGGAGGGTTATTGTTGAATTTACCTGGTTGGTTGTGAAATTTGTTGTGCTCCAAACCCAGAAGTTAAGATGGTTCATGGGAGTGTTTCTAAGAAGAAAAAGGCCAGGTATGCATGGCATCAAAGCATTCGAAAGTCCCTTAAAAGTATAGTAAAAGGTGAATTCCGTGTACACACTGCATGGGATTCTGTACAAAATAGACTTTGTGCCATGTACACAGGACTCTAGACTCTGTGTACCTCCTTCACTGATGCCGCTGTGGTCGTTAACCGGTCAGTCCATACAGTTCTTCCAAAACTCGATTTTTCCGCTGTGAGCTCCACCCACGTCATGCTGATTGGAATCAGAGGTCGCTTACACAGGCATGATACAACTTCCTTTCTTCAGAAGGAGTTTTGAAGTTTTTTTAAAATATATTTTCTTGTTGTCTTTAAAGATAGCATCGTCAGCTGGATGAAGAAACAGGCTGAACCCATGGCGAAGAAAGTCGACGATGTTTGGTCTTTGCAGAAGATACTTGACAGCTCCCACCAGCCAGTCGTTGCAGGTGAGGATTTATTGTCACTCCCAGACAAGGGAAGACCCATTTTCTTCAGTGCACATGAGCAGATATCCATGTAGTGAACACTTGCCTCGGACAACACCACCACCACCCATTGTCCCACAAAAAAGATTTAAAAGATTCATATGCACAGCTGAGCGGTATTACCCTAAGCTCAAAGGGGATAAAAAGTTTGGTAGAAGTCTCCACAGCTACCGGTACTGCAACAATCAAATACGGGGAAACTTCACCGTCACACATAGTTTCCAAGGACGATCAAAAAGTGTAAGGACCCAGTTTGGTATTAAAAAAGCCAAGGTCTTTCGGGGAAAAAGCGCGCGCGTGAGCCAGTGTAGGCCTATGGCTGCGCTGATAGGACAGACTATCGCACGCGTATAACTGTTCCCGAATAGCCTCATACTCGACATGCGCTGTTGGAGTAGCGAAGTAGCTCATTATTACATGGACTGGTTCCTGTCCCTATTACTTAGGGACCGCTTGCCCTGGCTTCTGGGTACAGTCCACTAATTCAAGCCCCATTGAAAACAGTGTAATATCAGCACTGTTCAGGGCCCAATAACATGCACGCCAACATCCCTGAGATTTCTGAAACACAAATGAAATTCTTGTCTGGTCACTAATCTTTCAATTTCTTTTCATTTTTTTGTGGGTTAACCAATTACATTTTTAATTATTCCCGCGAAACAAAATCACCCCCCCAAAAAG